TCCGGTCAGGATACAGAGAAACTGGATCACTCACACTTTGCTACTGGAAATGTAAAATAGCACAACCACTCTAGGAAACACTTTACCAGTTTCTTCAAAAACTAAATGCAACTATCATACGATCATAGAGAAATTGCACTCTTAGGCATTTAACTCAGAGAAATTGAAGACTCACATTCACATTAAACCTGTGCATGAATGTTTGTAGCAGTTTTGTTCATAATAGCCCCAAACCGGAAATAACACAAGGCACTTTGTGCACTGAAATTATACACTCGGGGCATTTTAGTTATTTGTTCCATGTCCTTCTCTCCAACTAGAAATTGACATGTTTGAGAGGTCTTATCTACCTGTGAGATATAGTATAGAGTATGAAAGGATGACAACTCTGGAACCAGACCATGTGGGTCAGATCCTAATGTGGTAGCTGACTGGACTTGCCAAATTATTTGATTTCTCTGTGTCTGTATTTCCTCACCTGTTCCTGGCACATAGTAAGCTCTCACCACATACACTTGGCTTTTGGTACTTGGTCCAGAGCCTGGGAACAAGTAAGTGCTTTAATAAACTTTTTTTGAATGAATGAATAAGACAGTGAATGAATGAATGATCACGGTCTTAAAATATTTTCCCCACAACTGTTTAAACTGTTGCCCTTTCACTATTACTATAAATCTAATCAAGGCCCTTATCATGTCTTCTTATACTAATATAATAAACTCTGACATAATAAATGAGATCATGTTTAAGATACTTAGCCCAATACCTGACACAAAATCAATACTCAATAATTATAGCCATAATTAGGTTACTAAAGAATTGTGGATTTCTTCACAATTTTACTACAGGGAATCATTCTCTACTTGTTCTAAGAATAAAGTAAATCTCTTAGCATAACATTGAAGGCCTTACAATCTGATTTTAACCTAGTTTCATGTACCAACAAAGTGCTCAATAAATAATAGCTATAATTATATTTACTATCTTTCTCACTAGATTCTTTACCACATTTTAGAGTCAAATCCCACCAAATTTCTATTTCCTGAAGAAGCCATGGCTCTATCTGAAATGTATTTTCTCTCTTCCTTATCTGACAAATATTTTCTCTTTAGTAAAGCTTCCATGCCATCATCTACCTCTACCCAAACCCCACCCATCCATCTATCCATACCCCATCCAACGTCTAAACCTTTCTTCAAGCATTCATTTCTTATCTTTTTACACCCGGGGGCCAGCACAGTGCCTGGCACACGGTAATGCTTATTAACGTTTGTTAAATTGGATGGAGGAAGAGAGGGAAAAGTGCTAAAGCCACCAGTTTTCCAAACTCCTGAAACCTGCACTGGTTTCTTTGGAATGGAAGCATGATAACTGAGTGCCATGTGCAATATTTGGTAAAGTGCTTCAGTTTCTAAGAAGGAGGATGTTTACTTTTAAGATGTCATAAAAAGTTGCCACATGAATCTCCTAGGAAACCCTGAGGGTGTCTCTCTAAGAAGTGTATCTAAGTTGAGTGTGAAAGGAGGCCGCGCGGTTCTGACCCCTTGTCTCCCTCATTCTCTGACCCCCACCCCATCCAGGAGCAGTCCTCCAGACACCGCAGCCCATGCTGTCAAAGCTCTCAAGCACACACATCTGGGTCCACATTCCCACTGTGTCCTTTCCACCTCTTTAAGCAACCTTCCCATCAAAAATTCCAATTCCTAGGGTCCTAGTCTCAGCTATTTTAAATGATACTAATACCTTGACAACTAACAACTCACAATTTTTCCTCAGCATATATCCCTGTCACATCATTTGAGCACTTGAATATTTTGAGGTAATTCCTGGTTTGACTTCACAAATCCCAGCCAAGAATTTTACCTCATCCTTCAAATTACTGCCACCAAATAGACAGGGCCAGTGATGAGAATATAAGCTTTACAGAACACTGAGCCTAACTTTGTATAAACCTGACTTCATTTCAAAAATTAAAGACATCTACCTAAAAAGGAATAAATTTATATTCATTATATAATTGAATCAAATAATTCTGAGAGCAAAAATACCACTTTTGAGGTATATGAATCTACCAAATACTTTTATTTACTTAATTTTCTGTGTAGTAAAACTTTCTGACAAGATTTTGGCAAATGTTTCTAAATAGATTTTTCCAACAGATTTTTTTCCACACCTTTAATGAGCTAGTTCTTTTTGTAAATTAACAATTAGTCTCTGACCAAAATTGGTCTACAAAGAATTAGAGTGCTCTTTCCCCAGCTGGTTTTTACCTTTAATCACTGTTTCACACTGACTCCTTATTTTACTAAATCTTCATCTCTCCACTATTCAGGTAATAGAAATATAATTGAATTTTAAAATCTATGCCTTTGTTTTCTCTTTCCTTATATTCTACATCATATCTGATCATATAAACACATTTTCTAATTGCAACCTCAGCTAATTCCACAGATCCCCCCACCTCTTAACATAGAACTTCCAGCCCCAGGCAAACTCCATGTTCCCAAACTCCCACCCACCCAAGGCTGCTGATACACAGGTAACTGGGGCTTCTGAAATGATCTATGGAGGCTTGTAAAACAATGCTTCTCTCCTACTTGGGTTGATCTCTAAGGTTAGGAATCTTCAGAGGTGCTCCTCAAACTTCACTGTTTATTTATTTCAGTGAAACAAACTTTTCTATTTTTACTTATTCTATTTCCCTGTCAAAAGACAAGCAATACACTTTTATGTTCAGAATCATTTTTCCTCTTCAATGTCTAATGCTTTATGGCTCAGCCAAGCATAGTGTCTGGCTCTTTTTGCTTTTAGAATGAAGTTTCCACCTAGACCTGTTCAGCCCGTACAAACAGTTCTGTGAACTGCCCCAGTATCACATCAGACATTAGCCACAGTACCTGAGCCCTGGAAGGAGCAAAGCCCAGGTTCAAGTGATTCCCCACTAGGAGAATTAAAACTAAGTGAAGGAGTAGGACAAAAATGCGTTGTATTAGACCCTCTTATAGATTCTTTCTGTTTAAAAGAGAACATCTGGGGCTTCCCTGGTGGCGCAGTGGTTGAGAGTCCGCCTGCCGATGCAGAGGTCACGGGTTCGTGCCCCGGTTTGGGAGGATCCCATATGCCGCTCCGCCTGCGCGTCTGGAGCCTGTGCTCTGCAGCGGGAGAGGCCACAACGGTGAGAGGCCCGCATACCGCAAAAAAAAAAAAAAAAAAAAAAGAGAACATCTGAAAATGATAACACCTTAACCTAAAGAAACAAACGCCTTAGAGCAGAACTTCCAACAAGGAGACAACAGGTGAGGAGATATTTTTAGAGATTTCTATCAAATCGTACTCTAAACAGGATCACAGAGGTAGCCTCCCCCCATCCCCAAAACAAAAAAAAAAATCCAGGCCTTTCTTGCTCACACACAGGATGGCTCTTGATGCGCACTACCAACCTACCAGACAGCCTCAAGCCCAGGGTCCTAAGTAGCCCAGACTGTATCCTTTCCCATCTCTATAAAACTCAGATATGTACACTCAGACATGGCCAGCTGCCACCAAAGAGAGAAGCTTCACATAGGTTTATTGTGGGAATTTTCAGATCCAAAAACAACCTGACATTTAAGTTCTGCCACTAATTAAAACCCACTGTTTTTCAGGGGGTTACCTCAAGTTTCTTTCATTTCCATCCAAGCTTTCTTTTTGAAATAAGTCATTTCCCACCTGACTGTTTTTGCTTTCTATCTGTCCAGATTTGTGAAAATATTTCCTCTAGATTTATTTTATGTTTAAAGCCAGCTGAGGCTGCTCTCTATCCTACTGTGGGAAGGCTTCTTCTCAAAGTGTATAGACAGTGGTTGGTCATGCAGCTGTTACACTGAGCATTTGCTCAATATGGGGAAGGAAGAAATGGGGGTATTGACAGTTATAGAGCATTATACTGGGTTCTTTACACAGACGGGAAAGCCTCACAACTTTCTTTGAGGATAAGTAGTACTGCCTTCATATCACAGATGGAGAAATCGAGGCACCAAGAGGCAAAGTAATATGCTTAAGGTCATACAGCTCTTACTGCACAGAGACTGGGTTTAAGCCCAGGTCTGTCAAACTCCAGATCTTATTCCTTTTTCCCTATACCAAAAGCCTTCCATGAATCAGAAAGAGAGTTCCACAGATGGTTCTCTCCACACCAGGCAGGGCCCTGCCTTTAAGTTTAGCATTTCATTTCCCAACACACCTTTTAATGAACGTTCTGGTGTTCACCATGATACAGGAATATTTCTGCCTTGTCTTTGTCTCCAAATAGATGTCTCCATTATTTTGTCTCATTTGTGTATTTTTTGTATCTCAGAGGTGCACAGTTCTAGAATTAGTGTATACTTTCTTACAAAGTCCTAGGCTGTAAATGTACTCTGTCTTTCCTATAGACTACTCATTTGGATGGAATTACTTGGGAACATTTAGCCAAATTACAGTTATTATTGAGGTATGAAATTAAGTTGAAAGATTTAAATCTGCAATCTCAAAAACTCTTGCTTCTTGTTTATAGGGTTAATTAAAACATTCTTCAGTTAGTTGAGAAATTTCTTGATATAAGATGATTTTAGCACGATTGATTGGAAAAATAGTGAGCTGTAAAATCTATAACAGTTTGATAAGCTGCAGTGAAACAGACAACTAATGTTAATATAAATTGGTAAATACCAATCAGACATACCAGGTGAAGGTTACACAGAGTCAAATATTTGTATAGAACATGCCTAGAACTCCAAGTATTTAACTTTCCCTTTAAAAACTCTCCTGAATTTTGATTTGTGTGGGCAGCTTAACTGAAGAATTCTACAAAGAAATACTTAACAAGTGAGGTCAGCTTAGTTAAATATCTGTGAAAAGAATGAAATGTGTATACAAAAATATAAATCGTTGAGTCAACACCACCAAAAGAAAACACAGCAGCTATGTGTAAACGAAACTAGATGATTTCGAAATCCTAAAGAAATTTGCAACATTATTACCTGGTTACAATAGCCGACATGAGCATCCTGCATATAAAGGGCAAAGTGGCCACGGTCTTGATGGCATGCCACCTGCTTTGGGTTGATCCTCATTTATAGGATTGAGCTCTATAAGCAAATAAAATGATTTAAATTCTACTTTTAAATATTTTCTCTCTTTTCCTTACATTCAGAGCAGATTTGTGGTATATCAGCACACCCATGCTCAGTAAAAACAGGCTCCAGGAGAGAGGGGGAAGATGGCGGAAGACTAAGACGCAGAGATCACCTTCCTCCCCACAGATACATCAGAAATACATCTACACGTGGAACAACTCCTACAGAACACCTGCTGAACGCTGGCAGAAGACCTCAGACCTCCCAAAAGGCAAGAAACTCCCCACATACCTGGGTAGGGCAAAAGAAAAAAGAAAAAACAGAGACAAAAGAATAGGGACGGGACCTGCACCAGTAGGAGGGAGCTGTGAAGGAGGAAAGGTTTCCACACACTAGAAGCCCCTTCGCTGGCAGAAACTGGGGGTGGCGGAGGGGGGGAACTTTGGGGCCGCGGAGGAGAACGCAGCAACAGCAGTGCGGAAGGCAAAGCAGAGAGATTCCCACACAGAGGATCGCTGCCGACCGGCACTCACCAGTACGAGAGGCTTGTCTGCTTACCCGCCGGGGTGGGCCGGGGCTGGGAGCTGAGGCTCGGGCTTTGGTCGGAGCGAAGGGAGAGGACTGGGCTTTGCGGCGTGAACACAGGCCTTCAGGGGGTTAGTGCACCACGGCTAGCCGGGAGGGAGTCCGGGGAAAAGTCTGGACCTGCCGAAGAGGCAAGAGACTTTTTCTTCCCTCTTTGTTTCCTGGTGCGGGAGGAGAGGGGATTAAGAGCGCTGCTTAAGGAGCTCCAGAGACAGGCGCGAGCCGCGGCTAAAAGCACGGACCGCAGAGACGGGAATAAGACGCTAAGGCTGTTGCTGGCGCCACCAAGAAGCCTATATGCGAGCACAGGTCACTCTCCACACCTCCCCACCTGGAAGCCTGTGCAGCCCGCCACTGCCAGGGTCCCGGGATGCAGGGACAACTTCCCCAGCAGAACACACGGCACGCCTCAGGCTGGTGCAACGTCACGTCGGACTCTGCGCCGCAGGCTCGCCCCGCCCTCCGTGCCCCTCCCTCCCCCCAGCCTGAGTGAGCCAGAGCCCCCGAGTCAGCTGCTCCTTTAACCCTGTCCTGTCTGAGCAAAGAACAGACGCCCACAGGCGACCTACATGCAGAGGCGGGGACAAATCCAAAACTGAACCCCGGGAGCTGTTCGAACAAAGAAGAGAAAAGGAAATCTCTCCCAGCAGCCTCAGGAGCAGCGGATTAAATCTCCACAATCAACTTCATGTACCCTGCATCTGTGGAATACATGAATAGACAACTAATCATCCCAAATTGAGGAGGTGGACTTTAAGAGCAAGATTTATTTTTTTTCCCCTTTTCCTCTTTTTCTGAGTGTGTATGTGTATGCTTCTGTGTGACATTTTGTCTGTATAGCTTTGCTTTCACCATTTGTCCTAGGGTTCTATCCGTCTGGGTTTTTTTGTGTTTTTTTTTACTTAAAAAAATTTTTTTTCCCTAATAATTATTTTTTATTTTAATTATTTTATTTTAGTTTATATTACTTAATTTTTTTATCCTCTTTCTTTCTCTCTCTTTCTTTCTTCCTTTCTTTCATCCTTCCTTCCTTCCTTTCTTTCTTTCTTTTTTTCTTTCTTTCTTTTTACTTTTTCTCCCTTTTATTCGGAGCCATGTGGATGAAAGGCTGTTAGTACTACAGCCAGGAGTCAGTGCTGTGCCTCTGAGGTGGGAGCTCCAACTTCAGGACACTGGTCCACAAGAGACCTCCCAGCTCCACGTAATATCAAATGGCGAAAATCTACCAGAGATCTCCATCTCAACACCAGCACCCAGCTTCACTCAACGACCAGCAAGCTACAGTGCTGGACACCCTATGCAAAACAACTAGCAGGACAGGAACACAACCCCACCCATTAGCAGAGAGGCTGCCTAAAATCATAATAAGTCCACACACACCAAAACACACCACCAGACATGGACCTGCCCACCAGAAAGACAAGATCCAGCCTCACCCACCAGAACAACGCACTAGTCCCCTCCACCAGGAAGCCTACACAACCCACTGAACCAACTTTAGCCACTGGGAACAGACACCAAAAACAATGGGAACTACGAACCTGCAGGCTGTGAAAAGGAGACCCCAAACACAGTAAGATAAGCAAAATGAGAAGACAGAAAAACACACAGCAGATAAAGGAGCAAGATAAAAACCCACCAGACCTAACAAATGAAGAGGAAATAGGCAGTCTACCTGAAAAAGAATTCAGAATAATGATACTAAAGATGATCCAAAATCTTGGAAATAGAATAGACAAAATGCAAGAAACATTTAACAAGGACCTAGAAGAACTAAAGATGAAACAAACAACGATGAACAACACAATAAATGAAATTTAAAATACTCTAGATGGGATCAATAGCAGAATAACTGAGGCAGAAGAACGGATAAGTGACCTGGAAGATAAAATAGTGGAAATAACTACTGCAGAGCAGAATAAAGAAAAAAGAATGAAAAGAACTGAGGACAGTCTCAGAGACCTTTGGGACAACATTAAATGCACCAACATTCGAATTATAGGGGTTCCAGAAGAAGAAGAGAAAAAGAAAGGGACTGAGAAAATATTTGAAGAGATTATAGTTGAAAACTTCCCTAATATGGGAAAGGAAATACTTAATCAAGTCCAGGAAGCACAGAGAGTCCACTACAGGATAAATCCAAGGAGAAACACGCCAAGACACATATTTATCAAACTGTCAAAAATTAAATACAAAGAAAACATATTAAAAGCAGCAAGGGAAAAACAACAAATAACACACAAGGGAATCCCCATAAGGTTAACAGCTGATCTTTCAGCAGAAACTCTGCAAGCCAGAAGGGACTGGCAGGACATATTTAAAGTGATGAAGGAGAAAAACCTACAACCAAGATTACTCTACCCAGCAAGGATCTCATTCAGATTTGATGGAGAAATTAAAACCTTTACAGACAAGAAAAAGCTGAGAGAGTTCAGCACCACCAAACCAGTCTAACCCAAATGCTAAAGGATCTTCTCTAGGCAAGAAACACAATAGAAGGAAAAGACCTATAATAACAAACCCCAAACAATTAACAAAATGGGAATAGGAACATACATATCAATAATTACCTTAAATGTAAATGGATTAAATGCCCTCACCAAAAGACACAGACTGGCTGAATGGATACAAAAATAAGACCCATATATATGCTGTCTACAAGAGACCCACTTCAGACCTAGAGACACATACAGACTGAAAATGAGGGGTTGGAAAAAGATATAACATGCAAATGGAAACCAAAGAAAACTGGAGTAGCAATTCTCATATCAGACAAAATAGACTTTAAAGACTATTAGAAGAGACAAAAGGACACTACATAATGATCAAGGGATTGATCCAAGAAGATATAACAATTGTAAATATTTATGCACCCAACATAGAAGCACCTCAATACATAAGGCAAATATTAACAGCCATAAAAGGGGAAATCGACAGTAACACATTCATAGTAGGGGACTTTAACACCCCACTTTCACCAATGGACAGATCATCCAAAATGAAAATAAATAAGGAAACACAAGCTTTAAATGATACATTAAATAAGATGGACTTAATTGATATTTATAGGACATTCCATCCAAAACCTACAGAATACACATTTTTCTCAAGTGCTCACGGAGCATTCTCCAGGATAGATCATATCTTGGGTGACAAATCAAGCCTCGGTAAATTTAAGAAAATTGAAATTGTATCAAGTATCTTTTCTGACTACAATGCTATGAGACTAGATATCAATTACAGGAAAAGATCTGTAAAAAATACAAATACATGGAGGCTAAACAATACACTACTTAATAACGAAGTGACCACTGAAGAAATCAAAGAGGAAATAAAAAAATACCTAGAAACAAATAACAATGGAGACACAACGACCCAAAATCTATGGGATGCAGCAAAAGCAGTTCTAAGAGGGAAGTTTATAGCAATACAATCCTACCTTAAGAAACAGGAAACATCTCGAATAAACAACCTAACCTTGCACCTAAAGCAATTGGAGAAAGAAGAACAAAAAAAACCCCACAGTTAGCAGAAGGAAAGAAATCATAAAGATCAGATCACAAATAAATAAAAAAGAAATGAAGGAAATGATAGCAAAGATCAATAGAACTAAAAGCTGGTTCTTTGAGAAGATAAACAAAATTGATAAAGGATTAGCCAGACTCATCAAGAAAAAAAGGGGGAAGACTCAAATCAATAGAATTAGAAATGAAAAAGGAGAAGTAACAAGTGACACTGCAGAAATACAAAAGATCATGAGAGATTACTACAAGCAATTCTATGCCAATAAAATGGACAACCTGAAAGAAATGGTCAAATTCTTAGAAATGCACAACCTGCCAAGACTAGATCATGAAGAAATAGAAAATATTTCTCCACTCTCAAACTCATTCTATGAGGCCACCATCACCCGGATACCAAAACCAGACAAGGATGTCACAAAGAAAGAAAACTACAGGCTAATATCACTGATGAACATAGATGCAAAAATCCTCAACAAAATACTAGCAAACAGAATCCAACAGCACATTAAAAGGATCATACACCATGATCAAGTGGGGTTTATTCCAGGAATGCAAGGACTCTTCAATATACACAAATCAATGTGATACACCATAATAACTAACTGAAGGAGAAAAACCATATAATCATCTCAGGAGATACAGAGAAAGCTTTTGACAAAATTCAACACCCATTTATGACAAAAACCCTCCTGAAAGCAGGCATAGAGGGAACTTTCCTCAACATAACAAAGGCCATATATGACAAACCCACAGCCAACATCATCCTCAATGGTGAAAAACTGAAACCATTTCCACTAAGATCAGGAACAAGACAAGGTTGCCCAGTCTCACCACTCTTATTCAACATAGTTTTGGCAGTTTTAGCCACAGCAATCAGAGAAGAAAAGGAAATAAATGGAATCCAAATTGGAAAAGAAGAAGTAAAGCTGTCACTGTTTGTAGATGACATGATACTAAACATAGAGAATCCTAAAGATGCTACCAGAAAACTACTAGAGCTAATCAATGAATTTGGTAAAGTAGCAGGATACAAAATTAATGCACAGAAATCTTTGGCATTCCTGTACACTAATGATGAAAAATCTGAAAGTGAAATCAAGAAAACACTTCCATTTAGCATTGCAACAAAAAGAATAAAATATCTAGGAATAAACCTACCTAAGGAGACAAAAGACCTGTATGCAAAAAATTATAAGACACTGATGAAAGAAATTAAAGATGATACACATAGATGGAGAGATATACCATGTTCTTGGATTGGAAGAATAAATATTGTGAAAATGACTCTACTACCCAAAGCAATCTACAGATTCAATGCAATCCCTATCAAACTACCACTGGCATTTTTCACAGAACTAGAACAAAAAATTTCACAATATGTATGGAAACACAAAAGACCCCGAATAGCCAAAGCAATCTTGAGAATGAAAAATGGAGCTGGAGGAATCAGGCTTCCTGACTTCAGACTATACTACAAAGCTACAGTATTCAAGACAGTATGGTACTGGCACAAAAACAGAAATATAGATGAATGGAACAGGATAGAAAGCCCAGAGATAAACCCATGCACATATGGTCACCTTATCTTTGATAAAGGAGGCAGGAATGTACAGTGGAGAAAGGACAGCCTC